ATGCAGCCCCAGACCATGATACTCCCACCACCATGCTTGACTGTAGGCAGAAGACTGTAGGCACAACACTTGTCTTTGTACTTCCTCACCTGGTTGCTGCCACACATGCTTAACATCATCTGAACCAAATAAGTTTACGTTGGTCTCATCAAACCACAGGACATGGTTTTAGAAATCCATGTCCTTAGTCTGTTTGTCTGCAACAAACTGTATGCAGGCTTTCTTGTGCATCATCTTTAGAAGAGACTTCCTTCTGGGACGACAGCCCTGGAGACCAATTTGATGCAGTGTGAGGCATATGGTTGGAGCACTGATAGGCTGACCCCTCCACACCGTCAGTCTCTGCAGCAATGCTGGCAGCACTCAGACGTCTATTTCCCAAAGCCAACCTCTGGATATGACGTTGAGGACGGGCACTCAGCTTCTTGGGTCAACCATGGTGAGGCCTGTTCCGAGTGGAAGCTGTCCTGTTAAACCACTGAATGGTTTTGGCCACCATGCTGGAGCTCAGTTTCAGGGTTTTGGCACTCTTCTTATAGCCTAAGCCAGTAGTGGTGAAATTTCTTGGGCTCACGTGCCCAAACTGGAAAACAACAACAACAGCGGGTGGGGTGGTGGACCCAGAGGTGGCGGTGATGGACCGGAAGTGGCGATGGAAGGGGGAATCCCAGCACGGAGGTGCCTCAAAACCCCACTCCGGATCCGCTGCCAGCACCAGGATCTTGGACAGACGCACTCATTGAAGCCCTTGCAGGGGCGTTGTTCTCCTCCACCTCTTGCCTGCCTCCAGCACCCGCCCCTTTTCCTCTCCAGTCCCACTTGGGACTTTGTCCCTTTAAGGGAGGGAGGGGGTGTCCTGCATCATTAGAGGGAGGCCGGAGGGGGCGTGGAGATGGAAGGCAAGTTCCTTTGTTTCCATCCACCAGTGGTGCTTGCAGGATTCAAGGTAAGGCAGGGTCTCCTTACTCTGCCTCTACACACACATACACCTTCTCAGGTTTGGCTGCGTGGGGCGGTAGCGACCTGGCGACCTATGGCTCGCACACCAGCAGAAAGGGCTCCACGTGCCATCTGTGGCACATGTGCCATAGGTCTGCCATCGCTGGCCTAGGCCATCTTTATGTAAAGCAACAATTTGTTTTTTCAGATCCTCTGATAGTTCATTACCATGAGGTGCCATGTGGAACTTCCAGTGACTAGTCTGAGAGAGTGAGAGCGATAACACCTGCTCCCCCTTCACACCTGAGACTTGTGATACTAATGGGTGTCATGACACCAGGGAGGGAAAATGGCTGCTTGGGCACAATTTGGACATTATCACTTAGGGGTGTACTCACTTTTATTGCCAGCGGTTTAGACATTAATGGCTGTGTGTTGCATTATTTTGAGGGGACAGCACATTTACACTGTTATACAAGCTGTATACTCACTGCTTTATATTGTCATTTCTTCAGTGTTGTCACATGAAAAAATATACTAAAATATTTATGAAATGTGAGGGGGTGTACTCACTTCTGTGATATATTGTAAGTAAATACAACATTTGCAGTCAAATCCTTTGAAAGCTTGAAATAAAATTATGTTATTCCTCACTCTGTTTCATCTGCGTACATATTGCCAGTTTGCCAAATACTGTCAATTCTATAAACTTGTTCTGACTTTCCTCAGAGTTTCCTGTCAATTGTAGTTGACCTGGAGAAGCGAGACCGGATATCCCCTGGTCATCTAGATTTGATAGAAGATTGCTTCCGGCACATTCACAGGAATGATTTGGTAAAAAGGATCCAGAAATACAAATGGGAAGGTAAGTTGTATTATTTCACCAACAGGGTTTTTGGGGAGATCATGGTGCTGATTCACACAGAATACAGACTTGGCTGACAAATGAATTCCTTCCTTGACTGACCTGCACTTAAATATTTGGCAGCAGGGTGGATTTGATTTAAATTAAATTGATTTAAATAAAAAAAAAGATTTAAATTAAAAATGATTCTTCAAAATTTAAATCATGACTTGAATCACCATTTAACTCTATGAAATAAATCATTGATTTTTATCCACACTGTTTGGTAGTGACCCCCACTGTATTTGGTGAGACTTAGTAACGAAGGCACATCACACAGGCTGCCAGTATCTTTAATCCCCATACACACATGATTCCTCTGGATCAGCCATTCTCAACCTTATATGAGAATACGAAAGAAATGTAGGCAGAATCAGGATTGTGTAGGTCACGTAACTTAACTTATAAGGAGGCATTGTTTCCAGTCTGTGGCACCCTTCAAAAGACTCCTGTAGGCAGCAAAGCCGTCACAATGTTGTGATTGCAAAACTGGAGACGTGTACAGCATCCTCCCGTCACGACCGCCCATTTTAATTACAAACACTAAAAATTTGTATTAAGCTATCAATATCTCAATAGACCTCTACTAACCAGAACTTGGAGCAGTTATTTTTTGGACAGTAACTCCAAGAATTCCCCAAGTCACCAAGGTCATAGTCCAGAAAGCAACTTTTTAAAGGCTCTGGTCTGATTACATAGAGGGATGAACTTAGCTGGGCATCTCCCACTCCCTGAATGCTTTTAGGCTGAGGAAGGTGTTCACATCTTAATGTCTCACAGTAGGATCTTGCTTGAGACCACAAGTGGTTTACTTAACAGTGCATCAACCCTGTCTGCTGTCTATAGCATTACATGGTGTGATTGATGGATGTCCTTTGTTGGTCTTTTGTGTGCAGTGATCACTGGTCCTTGTGGCTGGGTAGAATCTCCACTTTGTTTCCTTTTTTCCTTTTCTTCCCGTATGTGGTCCATAGAGATCCTTGAAATCCAGAGTGTTTCCTGATTAGGGCCAGGAGGTCCTCTTTTTTAGCAAGGAGGCTGAACCCATCTGTATAGAGGTGGACCTTGAGATCCTTGCCATTGTAGGTCCACCCCTACAGTAATCAGTGACATCTGAGCACTCAGCCTGGAGGCAGGCGGTGCATCATGGCCTCTCCCATTTTGAAGAGACCCTTGTCCAGCAGGCCAAGGCAGGGGCAGTCCCGAAACCAGCAAAATCAGGGAGCTGGACAGGGGACAGACTGTATTTGTCTCCAGTGTGGAAGGGACTGTCACTCTTGAATTGGCCTTCTCAGTCACACTAGACTTTGTTCCAAGTCCTCCATTCAGAGTACATTACCATAGTCTCTCGAGACTGAAGGATGCCTAATCTAAAGGTCCACCCCTAATCATCCCCTTATCACTGGCTGTGCTAGGAGTTGCAGTTCAATGACACTTGAAGGGCCACACCTTGCCTGACCTGCTCTGTGTAGTGCTAAGATAGCGCAAACACAATAGTTGTGGATTTCAAAGCGGGAGAGGGCTGGGATCAGGAAGATATATGCTGTATGGGTTGACTGTTCTGGATGGCATTTTTTCTGAGAGTCGTCTTCTCCAGTTTCAGCTCCAGTGCACCCCATTAGCGCTCCACCGGTGTATGGAAACACACTCCAGGCATCATTTCCTAAGCTGTCGCTTGCTGACCCCCCACTGGTAAGGGCATAGTAATTCAATACATGGGGTTGGCTGCCAAAATGTGCTTATAGGAGAAGTTTTTGCGAAGAGTGCAGTGCCAATGGGAGGCAAAAAGCATTTGCTAATGTCTCTGAGTTACTGACCTGGCTGCTCGAGAGCCTTTTCAAGTGGATTTGGGACACTTGTACTTTGGTTCCCTGCTTGACGTTTAGTGAGAGCATCCCTGGAAAATGCAGTGCCTCTAGATGCTCTTGGACTCATCATTCCCATTATCTCTTACCTTCGGCTAGGGTGGCAAAGGTGGAGGGGACTAGCAGTTGGACAATACTTGGGAGGCCCTGTCCTTTTGCAAACTTCAGGTGGAATTGGTGGACGGGCATCCCTAACAGAGATACTGCCTTTCGTGAAGTGTGTGCTCTTCGTACAAGGCCAGCCAGCTTGGGGTTATGGCTGCTTTGAAATGGCAGAAGTTCCAGTTGTTCTGTCTAACATCTGTGCAAAAGAAGGGCGAAATTGGGAGATGTCTGTGCCAGCGCTAATACCCTAGTGTTAAATTGTTGAAGGGCATCGGTTACTGGTAGCTCCTTCCTTCTCCTCCTCTGGCTTTGCAGTGTCATTTTAGAGATTTAAAATACAGTAAGGCTTTTCTCCCAGCTATTTATATTTTCTATCCCTTTGCTAAGAATCCCTAGCATGGGGCTGTTTGCCTTTGCAGCCTTTGCACCTTCGTTCAAAAGGACATAAAACTGGATTTTAAAGCATAAAGGATATTTGTTTTGGCTTCTTTCTGTCTGCAGATTACAGAAAAAAGAAGGTCCCTAAATGGAGAATGTCCTCCTCAAGGTAAGGCTGTTAATCCTTCCTGCAGAAGTGGGGAACCTTTGACCCTCTCAGTCTGGTGAATGATTATGTCCATCATCCCTCATTTTACTGCCCAGACAGACTGGGATTTATTGGAACTGGAGTCCAGGAACATTTGGAGGTCTGCATGTGCCCTTGGGCTGCCTTATAGCCTTGGGCTGCTTTCTTGTATCCATTTATCTGGGAGTAAGTGCCCCTTAACTCATTGCGGCTTACTTTTGAAGAGACATATATAGATTCACACTGTTGGACTTCCAGTTCCAAAATGTAATTTCAATAATAAACAAGTTAACATTTAGAAATGGACACAAACCACTGGTTCGGTGGTTTGTGCCAGTTTGTTTTTCATCCAAACACCTATTTGGATGAAAAAGGAACTGCTGAACCAGTGGTTCGTGCCCTTCTCTAGTTACATGTAAGTTTTTGCAATGTGGTATACGGTTAATGAGAACGTATTGTTAGCCATTGCACATTGCTGCTTGGACCAACTGATTGTTGTTCTGGAAGAAGGGATTGCCATGACACATACTGTAGCTACTAATGAAGCTCTATTTGTTTCCAGTTTTTCTAATAGTTATAAAATGTAGTGCTTTAACAACCACCTTTTTGGGTCCCATGTTCCTGCCTGAGAACATTTAAAAAACATCATTGTTAGTGAGGTAAAATCAGATAAAATATTAAGTTAGAATCAGATAGACTTTAAGAGTGTGATATGATCAGTTATGATGGCTAGCTAAAATGTTGCTCATACTACAGGGTGGTGTGTCTGTTTCAAGACTGACTAAAATTGCCCCTGTGGGACAGGATGGGCGTCTGGCAGATAATAACGTTGAACTTTTGTATTCCAGCAGAACAGGTTCACATATCAATACCCGAAACAGGAGGAGCCCCAGCACAGGTACTGTAGAATGCAAGGACAAAAGTCCTTCTCTGCTACTATTCAAATCCTTTCCTTTTCCATAAAGAAATGCCTTAAGGGCCTCGCTCGTCCCCCTGACAGGTATATTTTATAACCAGGCTGGGGAACATGCAACCCTCTAAGGTGGTTTTGATTGCCATCTCCCATCAGCTCTAGACAGCCTACTCATTGGTCCAGAGTGGTCCAGAGTTGTCATCCAGCAGCACCTTGAGGGCCACACGTTCCCCTTCCTGATACAGACTCTTTTTTTTTTCTTGTACTGCCTACGTGCCCTAAGGGATCTCTGCAATCAAAAAGCAAGGAACGGCCTAGTCTCAGTGGTTCCTTGTTGTCAGCTGACAGGCGTTGGCTGTCCATCAGGGTTTCAGGCCAAACTCTTTCCCAGACCTACCTGGAAATCCCTGGTATTACCAGGTAGTTCCCTTCCAGATCCTGCTTAGGTAAGATCAGGTGGTGGCCTGGAGAGTGCAGTTGGGCGACAAGAGTCAACACAGGCTTTTCTCCTTGGCTTTTCTCCAATGTAGGAAGGGAAAGAGGCATCAATGCCAGGAAAGTGCTGCCAGCCACTCTGCTATCAGTCCCCCCCCCTTCAGCTGCAAAGATTAACTAGGTCAGGCTGGAAGACAAAGAGGAGAAGTCCTGTGAGTTGGAAAGAAGAGTGACACGGGGATATTATTTTTCTTCTTCTTCTCTACAGGTATTGAAGAAGTACAGAATGCAGAGCCAGCCTTTAGGAGTGTGTCTGATTATAGACTGCATCGGCAATGACGCAGGTAAGTGCCTGGGACACCAGATGTTTCCTTCCATCAAAGCTCAACAGCAGTCTTCCTCCAGCTTAGGGCCTCCTAGCATGCTGCTTGGGGATGATGGGTGTTTTAGTCTAGTCTTGAAGGAACATTCTCTTTATTTTATGAAAATCACCATCTAGAAACGCCGCCTTGTACATTTTGTAGATACTCTTTGCCATGCCTTATAGTTCTGTCCTTGCCTCAGTCTCTTTCTCTCTCTCTGTCTTTAAATTGCAAAGTTTAGTCATGATCAATGTATGTAGCAGAATTAGATAGCAGAATGACAGAGAGCCAAGATAGTGCAGTGGGTGGAAGGCTGAAATCGGGGTCCTGAAAAGTGCAGAACCCAGATTCAAATCCACTCTCAGTCATCAAGTTCACTGAGTGAATGTGGAGCAGTTTCTTAACCAAAACTTGGTTATTAGGGCAGTTATGAATAGAAAATGTAGAGGAAGAAATGAGCCCTTGAGAACTTAGTTGGTGTGCAGTTCCCAGCATAGTCAATAATGAAGGACGATGGAAGTTTCAGTCTCACAGTATCTAGAAGGTCATATGTTCTGTTCTTGATGTAAGCCAGTTTGAATTTTGTGAAGGAAAGACAGGATTCAAATATACAGTTGACTCTCTGTATCCACAGAGATGGGTTCCTAGCCCCCCCCCCCCCATTATAGCAAACACTTTTAATAGTGCAAACTATACATAGAATAGTCTCTGGTTCCCTCTAGTGGCCCATTCTGGTAACTTCATCTTTAGAAATATATACATGTATTTCTATGATTTAAAATATACTGTATATATCTGCAGATCATGGATAAATGATTCCGCCGATACTGATTTTTGGATAAGCAGGTTCTACTGAAGTAAAATGAATAAAATTCCTATACAGCGTAATATGATTTCTGACTGCTGGGGAGATTTTATTTCTGCTGTTCCCTCAGAGGGGACAAAACACCCCACTCTGTGCAAATTAAACAAAAAATGAGTACATCAGAGGGGAAAATTGTGGAGTTTAGCATAACCCTCCTCCTGTGTTAATTGTTTATTTATGGATTTCTGTCCTTTTTGTGTATGTGGATAGATGGGAGACTGCTGTCCCTCATGCACAGTCTGACGTGATTCAGTCCATTTACCGCATGGGATCTCTGCTGCTTTGTTCCCATCCTTCTCCCATTGTATGTGTACACATCCCCTGAGCCGCTGCCTCCATTTTTCACCACAGTTATTTTATTTATTATTTATTCAGAATATATTTACCCTGCCTTTATCCTGAAAAAGGACCCAAGGCAACTTCCATCATTAAAAGGCAACACTTAGGATAACAACTGAAAGCACACAAATAGAAGGAGTAAACAAATACCACACTAAAAACTGGTAAACAATATAACAACCCATTAAAAAAAACACTCGGACACCCAGTCACTTTGTCTTCCCAATATTATAATCCAACTAGTTCAAAATTTGCTGGCATCTGGGAGACATTGGCTAGAATCCTGTTGCACAGCTGCTCTGCATAACTTGGAAGTTGCACAAGCCATTGCAAAATTTGTGCCAGGGTGGAAGTCTTATCCAGGAAGCTGTTCTGTGAATGCAGCTGCATGGTCAGCATGGCTAATTAAGCAGTTGCACTGTTAACTGCAGAATCAGACTTCTGTAGTACCTGGTCAAAACTCCCTGTGAACATCTGCAGGCATAACTTTATACAGTGGTGCCTCGCATTACGACATTAATTCGTTCCAGCAAAATCTCTGTATAACGAAAATGTCGTAATGCGAAAATAAAAAGCCCATTGAAATGCATTGAAAACTACTTCAATGCGTTCCAATGGGCTGGAAACTCACCGTCCAGCGAAGATCCTCCATGGGGCAGCCATTTTTGGTGCTTCTGTAGCGAGGAATCCGTCCCAGAAAACAGTGGGGAGCCATTTTATTTACCCGGCAGCCATTTTGAAACTGCCAATCAGCTGTCCGAAAATCGTCGTTTTGCGAAGAATCGGTTCCCGAAGCAGGGAACCGATCATCGCAAAGCGACAAACCCTATTCAGACCATCGTTTTGCGATCGCAAAAAGATCATCGTAATGCGGTTTTGTCATAATGTGGGGCAATCGTAAAGCGAGGCATGACTGTACTGTGCCAAGTGTAATAGGATTTCAGCCATTGAAAGGTGTGTGTGTGTGTTTCTGGATTAGGCCTTGACTTAATTGGACAGTGTTGACCAGCGAGCAACTGCAGTTGGTCAGGCAGAGAGTGTCTAGTGCAGGGGCCTCAAACATGTGGCCCGGGGGCCATTTGCGGCCCGCCAGATGATAGTTTGTGGCCCCCACCTTGCCTGACCCCCCCAAAGCACCCACACATCCTCTGCTGTCAAGAGTCAAAAAAAGCCTTGCTCGCTAGCTCTCCCCCAAGACAGCGCCACTTGCACCCTCCATCTGGAACTGCAGCCTGCCAGCTAGTCCACGTATCTGCCGGCTGGCAGGC